AGAGGGGGACTAAGGATGTGGTTCAGTAGTAAAGCACTTGCCCCATGTGTGGGACACCCAAGTTGCATCCCCAGCGCCACAGAATAATAAGTAAATAAATATAGTAATTTTAAAAAATAAAGGAAAGGGGGAGGGAAGGATAGGAAAGCATAAAGGGAAATCGGTAATGTAGGAGGAGATCAAGAGGCACAGTGGAGGGTTGGGTAAGGGGAGTCAATGTAGAATGAATTCTTAAAAAAATCATGTTATACGCATATATAGATGTACCACAGGGAATTTCACCTTTATGCATGAATAAAAAGAACCAGTTAAATATAGACAACCAAAAGAAAGTCCAGTAAAGGATGTAGAATGAGGGAGCAGAGGGAAAGGGGGAAGAGAAAAAGGGGATTTTGAACTGAAATCAAATTCCATGCACACATGAGTTTGCCAGGATGAATCAAACCACTATGTGTAACTATAAAGCTCTAATAACTAGATTGGGGATATGGTTCAGTTGGTAAGTGTTTGCTCTTCATGTACCAGCACCAAACAAAAGAAAAAAAAAATATATATATATGTATATAATATACAATAACTTAAAAATTCTATTTCTTTTGAAAAACAAACAGGGATCATCTTGCTCAAAACTCAAGAGGTAAAGCAGGGCACAGTGGTGCACACCTTAATCCCAGTGGCTCAGGAGACAGACAGGATTGTGAGTTCAAAGCCAGCCTCAGAAAATTAGCAAGGCCCTAAGCAGCTCAGTGAGACCCTATCTCAAAATAAAATACAAAAATAGGACTGGGATTGTGACTCCGTGCTTCACTGCCCCCGAGTTCAATTCTTGATGCCCAAAAATAAATAAGCAAAATTTATTAAAAATTTTAAAAGAAAAAAAAAATGAAGGGCTAGGGAGCTAGGGATGTAGTAAGTAGCTCAATGGTTAAGTCTCCCTAGATTCAGTCACAAGTTGGGGAAAAAAAAAGAAATCAAACCTAAAGAGGTCATTCCCAACTTAAGAGGAAATAGGAATAAATATCTTTCAGAGCTCTTTCTGGATCAGATCTTAACTCAGGGAGTTAAGATCTGATCCAGATAAGCCAATCCCCAGATTTTTTCTTTTCTTTTTCTTTCTTTCTTTCTTTTTTCTTTTTTTGTTTGAGACAGGGTCTAACTAAGTTGTTGGGGGGTCTCACTAAATTGTTGAGGCTGGCCTACTTGCAATCCTCCCGTCTCAGTCTCCAGAATCACTGGGATTATAGTCATGTGCCACCATGCCTATTTTTTAATGGACTACCAGTGTTTCTGTCTTCTCTACTGCAAGTCAACGAGTGACTGTAATAAGTTTAATTAAATGTAACCCAATCTTAGTCTTAGGACCCAATAACCAGAAAAATTCAAGGAAAATAGGCTAAAATTGTAATAGGCTAAATTTGATTTTAAAAGCAGGAAAACACAAAATTTATGGACTGACCTTGGTCTTAGAATAATCTCCTATAAGAACAATCTGAAATATAGAGGATATGCTATGTTTTTTGTTTCTGGCACTTAGTTTGATGCCCCTACTACCTTGCAGGAATTTAGTAAATAGCAGATGAATAAAAACAATAATTTAATAAAACATTAATTGCTGAACTGGGTGATGGGTAGTCTTCATAAAATTCTTTCAATTTCACTCTCTAAAGTATTAAACAATGATGGGGCTGGGGTTTCAGCTCAGCAGTAAAGTGCTTGCCTCACACTTGTGAGATACTGGGTTCGATCTTCAGCACCACATAAAAAATAAATAAGATAAATAAAGATATTGTATCCACCTTTAAAAAAAATCTTTTTAAAAAAAGTATTAAACAATGACAATTTAAAACCTAAAATCTGGCACACCTGTAATCCTTGAACTTGTGATCTTCCTCCCTCACTGGGACTATAGGCACACACCACTGAACCTGGCAAAAGGTAAACTTTTTTTTTTAAATTTAGTTGTAGATGAATAATTTTTATTTATTTTTATGTAGTGCTGAGGATTGAACCCAGTGCCTCACACATACGAGGCAAGCACTTCACCACTCAGCTACAACCTCAACCCCGCAAAAGGTAAACTTTCTTGCCCTAAACAAGCAGTTTTCCAAATCACACTCATCAGACATTATGATACATCAAGATACAATTACTAAGCTTGATGTGGTGGCACATGTCAGTAATCCCAGCTGCTCAGGAGGCTTAGGCAGGAGGATCACAAATTCAAAGCCAGCCTCAACAACTTAGCAAGGCACTAAGCAATTCAGTGAGGCCCTCTCTCTAAATAAAATACAAAACAGGGCTAGAGACGAGGCTTGGTAGCCAAGTGCCCTGAGTCCAATCCCCAGTTACCCACCCCCCAAAAACAAAACTAAGATTTTATAATAATTACAGAAAATATATGAAGACCATATTTTCACCAACAACCAAATAAATGCCTATTTTTCTTTTTTTTTTTCCTTGCAGTATCAGGGATTGAACTCAGTTGCACTCTATCACTGAGCTACAATTCCAGCCTTTTATTTTTATTGAGACAGAGTGTCAATCAACTGCAAAGCTGACCTCAAACTTTCAATCCTCCTGCCTCAGCCTCCATAGTCACTGGGATTACAGGCCAGCATCATTGAACCCTTTACTTTCTAAAAGTATTTTGTATTTGTACTTATCCCCTTTGCATAAGGTTTTGCTACCATCCTTTAAAATTTCCCCATATTCTGAGGGGAGTAGTGTTCAAATACAGAAGATGCCAGTGCATAAATATTTTAGCACAGTAAGTACATGTTTGGACTGTGGAAAAGCTTAGTTGTACATCCTTAGTACCACCACCACACACAAAAAAAACTTTATGCTTAATAATTTGGGAGGGATTTCACCAAAAAATTCTTCAAATGAGAACATGTTAAATATCTTTGAAAAGAATTGCAAATGTAGCTAGTACAGTGGCACATGCCTGTAATGCCAGTGGTTCAGGAGGCTGAGGAGCTCAAAGCCAGCCTCAGCAAGAGTGAGGTGCTAAGTAATTCAGTGAGACCCTGTCTCTAAATAAAATACAAAACAGAGCTGGGGATGTGGCTAAGTGATTGAGTGCCCCCCCCCCGTAAGATCCCTATACCCACCCCCCCAAAAAAATTGCAAATTTATTCTGGGCCTGGTGCTATACACCTGTAATGCTGAGAACTCAGGAAGTTGAGATAGGAGAATGACAAGTTTGAGGCTCACCTCAGCAACTTAGCAATACCTTGTCTCCAAAAACAAAGACTGAGGATGTAGCTCAGTGATAAAAAGCGCTCCTAGGTTAAATCTGTATATGAAAATTAAAGTATGAGCAAAAAGTAGGAAGGGTGGCACAAGTATGTAATCCCAGCAACTTTGGAGGATGAGGCAGAAAAATGGCAAATTCAAGGCCAGCCTTGGCAATTTAATGAGACCATCTCAAAGTAAAAAATAATGTGGATGTAGTTCAATGGTAGAGAATCCTTGAATCCAATCTCCAGGACCCACCCCAAAAAGCAAAATTATGAACACAGAAACAGATATGGGGTGGCTCAGGCCTATAATCCTAGTGACTTGGGAGGCCGATACAGGAGGATCATAAGTTTAAGGCTAGTATTGGCAACTTAGCACAGTTCTAAACAACTTAGTGAGACCCTGTGTCAAAATAAAAAAGGGTTGGGGATGTGGTTCAGTGGCAAAGCACCCCTGGGTTCAACTCCCAGTACTAAAAAAAAAAAAAAAGAGCACATCATTCTCCTTTCACATTAAAATAAAATATATATAAATTAAAGCTGTGAAAAAAAACGGGCTGGGGATGTGGCTCAAGCAGTAGCGCGCTCGCCTGGCATGTGCAGGGCGCTAGGTTCGATCCTCAGCACCACATAAAATAAAATAAAGATGTTGTGTCCACCAAAAACTGAAAAATAAATATTAAAAAATTCTCTCTAAAAAAACTCAAAACATTTGTGACTTCAAATGTCCTTAGGTGTCATAGATGTCAAGCATCAGCTCAAACTCTATTTGGGAGCTTGGCATTTTTGTCGTTGTTGTTTTTCCCACCTTTTTTACATTCAGGAAGACAAAAAAAAAAAAAAAAAAGCTGCCAGGTTGAATGAACCAATCTATGATTCAGTGTTTTGGTTAAACTTGCAAAAGCCACCTTTAAGCTGGGTGCGGTGGTGCACACCTGTAATCCCAGTGGTTCAGGCAGTTGAGGTAGGATGATCATGAGTTCAAAGCCAGCCTCATCAAGCCCTAGATAAGCAACTCAGGGAGACCCTGTCTCTAGATAAAATACAAAACAGGGCTGAGGATGTGGCTCTATGGTCAAGTGCCCTGAGTTTAATCCCCAATACTCCATCCACAAAAACCACTTTAAACTTGTCTTTGTCTTATTATAGACTCAAGCTCCCAAAAGGAATCTTCTTTATCTTAGTAAAAGCTTATATTGATTTCCCAGCATTCAAAGTACTACTTTTTCATGGTATCTACATACTGTTTTTTCTAAATAAAATGCAAATGCCCCTATAGCAAAATTTATGCTTGGTTCAGCAGGATTATAATTTTTCTGACCTCTAGGGTTAGGAATATAAGTGGTAGAGATTAATGCTTTGTCCTTATAACCACATTTAACTTTACTTCCAAAGTGGTTAAAATATTCTAAAGGTTCCAACAACAAAACAAAAAAAAAAAATTAAATTTTAAAAAAGAGAACCAGAGAAGAAATTTTCCACGTTCACTCATTTTCTTATTAAAGCAAAATCACACACCCTTGGGAACTAGCCAAGTGAATAAAATTTGATGTACTTCTGGTTTAATATTAGAATCATAATACTAACCAAAGCATCTTAAGGGTTTTCATGAATAATCGATAATCAAAAATTGATGACAAATATATATATAAAGTCATAGTAATAATAGGCCAGTCTACTCTATTATTCTATAATAGTCTCTAAAAACTTTTTTCAAAATAAGGGCATTTAGGGTAAGTACACATATCAATTCCTCACCTGTCGTTCACAATATGCTTTCATTAGTTTACTAAGTGGTGTATGCCTCTTAATCTTAAACTGCACCACAGAACCATCCTGCCCCGCCACCTTCAAGTTAATATGATCGTTGTTCTCAGTCTTGACTCCTTCCTGTTGAAAGAAAAATAAAGTAGTATTTGGAAAATGTGAAAAACAGTAGCAGCAGCAGCAGTGCAAGTTGCTTAAAAAAAAAAAAAAATCAACAGGTTTCTTATTCAGTATGATCAAGCAGCATACAGCTATTTTTAGACCCCAAAATTAATCTGAAATACTACAAATTCTGCAGCATCAGTATTAGATAGCTGTAGCAGAAAAACCTACATAAAATGCTATCAATGACAACAATACATTTTAAAATATGGGTCCCACTCAATTTATTACGACGTTCTCTTCAGGCTGAACTGTCTAAAATGGCACATCTTCTGTCACTGCCAAAATCTCTCCCGACGCCCCAAAAAAAGATTTAAAAAAAAGTGTCCTTTCTCTTCACAAAGTGCTTTAAGTACAATTGATGAAACAGTGCAAGGAGGGAAATTGCAATTCAAAACTCAACTCTCTTCTCTTGTTAAAAAGTTACCAAACTCGACTTAATAACTTAAATCCAATTCCAACCTCCACGTTAAAAAACTCCAGTGAGGTAAATCCTCCGGTCTCTCCCGAGCCTCGGTACTAACTCAGAGCCACGAGTAACCGTGGGGATCAGAAGCATCATTTTGTTTATTTTTAGTCAGGAGCGCTTTTCCTCCCCTCCCCTTTGTTGTCACGGGTCAAACATACAGGTTTCTTCCAAATCTTCTGTATAGATGTCGACCCGACCCCAAGTTCACCAAAACCAAGTGTGGAAAGAATTCTGCTGCCCCTAAGTCACTCCAGAAAGCAGTGCTGAGGGAGGGGAGCGTGTCAAACCACCCCAAGTGGCAGGTCCCCTGTGGCCTGGAGATGCGCGTCCCTGGTCCTCCAGGGAAGTCTCCCGTGCCTCCAAGCCGCGCTCCGCTCCGAAGTTAAGCCCCACTCGGACCTCGGCCTCCAACTTCGCGGAGCCACATGGCCCCTGCGC